CTAACACACACACACAGACAACCTCTTGTCAATATGCGTTTTTCGCATTGACTACTGACTGGGGAAAGCATCCTGGAAAGGTTACAGCAAACGGAAATTCAGCGGTGTGCAACTAGCATCACTATCTCGTCCCAAAAGTAGTTACGTCTTTAAGGTACCTCGCTGTCTGGAGAAGCTTAGTGCATGCATGCTCATAAACAGCGCTTTAATCAGTCATTTGTGAAATTAGACGGAAAAATTTTGTCAAAATCATTAAAAAACAATTTTTCCTTATCAAATCATTAAAAAAAACCATGCACTTTTAGCACTGCATATTTTATATCGTCGTCCCAAAAGGCGAAGCAGTTGATGAGGAACCAGCGTTTGATGGGCAGCGAAACAAACAACTCATGGATGCAAAGTATTATTATTCGTCAAAAAATCCGAACATAGAAAGCTACTGCACGAAGCTCGTAAAATGGGATCCTCGCGGCGTCGTCCAAATGCATTGCTTTCAGCTCCAGCGTAAGTACATGATTATAAATTTTTACGCAAAGTACAGAAAGTACCAGTATATCACCAGAGTAATATTTTCTGTACTCCGAGTTAATGGTATTACTATTACACTTGCAAACGCTAGGTGAAGCCTCGTCGTATCTCAGGTTAGTATCCATCGCGCCATCTCTTTGGAGCACCACTTACTAATGCACCATGTCCACTAGTTGTCATCAAAGGGAGCAACATGCTCTGCCCATCGGATTTCACTTGCTAACAGTGTAAAAATTTGAACGATGGCAGTAGTCCATAGCGAGGTTTTTGGTATTTTTTATCCGAACACTGATAAACACTCAAAACTTAGATTGTTATCAGCCTTTCTTTCCAGGTAATCTGGTTTTAGCCTTGATTTTGACCAGCTGCAGTTTGTTGCTGTCTGGCAATATTTTCAACTGCGTTAGCCAATTCCGTGGTCAGCTTGTTGACGATCATGACATCCACTTTGTCTCCTCTATCTAAAAATTTACATAAATATAAAAAGCGGTGGTTAAAAAATGAAGGCACTTTTGAAAGTTTCCTGATTACGCCCCTTCTGCTTTAAGACTTCTGTCTCATTATTAAACAGAAGTTTTCAATTCAAAAATTTGGCCTAATGGAGCGCAAAATTTTCTACGTCATTATTCCACAACACACTGTTGCTGTGAACAGAATCCGCTTCTAGCTACGGGATACCCGTGGAGCTTTCGTCAACATTTAGGTGTTGAAGCACTCTTAAATTCTAATCACTTCAGCATGAGGCTTAACAGTAGCACTCAGTGTTTTTGAGGTTGATTTCACTTAACTTCACTCTAATAATTTTACATTTCGTTGCAGCCACAGACCAAATGTGTTTTGGCGATGTCCAGTATGAAAGGCAGAAGCTGCTAAATGCAAGGGAGTGGGATTCTTACTTGTGTTGCTGCAATCATCGACCATTTTGTAATTACGACGTAAGCATTTGCGAGCGACAAAAATAACAATTGTGCACTTACAGTGTCTTTTTGTCTTGTAGAGGAAAAACTGAAACAGTTGAAGCAATTTACACGGAAATCCTTTGGTCTCTGTTTTTTTTTTTTGTTGGCCGTGGTTCTCCAAAAGACATTATGAACTAGCTTCAAGGAAACAGCTTCAAGGAAGCAATTCGATATTAATATTCATATTGAAAAAATTTTCTTTATGATTGATTTTTTCAAAGTGTGGGATACAGTCTCTTTGGATAAGCTAATAATTTTGCACACTGGAGATTTGTAAAGTTTCAGCTTTTTCACCTTTTTATTTTGGCGTGTCTTATTTTAGCCAGCTCTGAGGAAAAAAGTTGAGAAGGTACTGCGGTACTGCAAATATAATAGCGGAAATCAGTTCCTGTTCAATGATTTATACTTAGTCGTTCGTGAAATCGGAGAAGCCTGTCTGTTACATTACATCGACAACACGACTCTGCAGGACATGGATTTACGGCTGCCCAAGCGGGGCACTGTTTTATATCAACAACCAGGTCAGCTGCAACCGTTTGTTGAACGACCACTTTGAATAAAAATACTCCTATAAACTAGTCTGCAAACATTTAGTATTTCTTAACCGAAATTAGCTTGTCTGGCGTCAGGATGCTAAGCAGACTGACCATTTAGATGCGTGACACTGCACAACGCGTCTAGAATAGTTACTAGTCCCATTTCACAAATTTTATCCCGGGGCTAACCATCCTATCTTCTTTAGAGTAACGGAATCTTTTCTGAGTTGTGATCATCCGGGCATAAAAGTACGCTCCTCCGTTTTTCGTTCATCTAGTAGCTTTTATCAATCTTTGTGAACCATGCGCCGTTCTTCTGTCGAGCTTCGGCTCCCTAAAACCTGCCAACATTTTCTCCTTTCTTTTTCTGCTTCCTTTTTGCTGCTGCGATTAGTATTATGTGATATTATTTATAAAAACATATGTGAACCAGTTACTCTACTTTATAAACACACGTCCAGACTTGCTAGTCTAGGCATCAAATATTAAGTTGGCTTGGTGCAGAGTGATTGTCATTTTTATTTCTTATCTGTTTTGGAATATCATTTCTGCAGTGATTTTCATTTATTTACTACTACTCTTTTGTCTACTTGTTTACTTATAAATCAAAATTAAAATTTTTTATTGAAATAAACATTTAAGGAAGCGGATTTTCACCGATAGATTTCTCGTACGCGTTGCTGGAAGAGGATCAGTGCCGATTCATCGAGGTGGAGGTAATCCATGAGCCTGTATTCACAACTTTCGCATTATCTTATCATTCTAATTCTTTGATCAGCTGCATTTCATTGCGTGGCTTTTCCAGCGGAAAGCAGTAGGCAAAGCTTTGATCGTTTTAAAACGCCGTTGATGTGTATTGAGTCACTTCGTTAGGAATACGGTACTTCAGTAAGACCCCGAACTACAATAAAACTCCTTCATAACTTCCATTAGAGCAGGGCAAATTTTGCAGCTAAACAACAAGTACCTAGCTTCAAGGAACTGTAGCGCGCCCCAAAATTACTTTCAAACGGAATATATGCCAATGAAGATATTTGTATGTCGCTGTAAGGGTATGGCATGTGATGCTAATCTGGAGAAAAAAATTGAGAAACTCGCAGAAGAACATGTTTGTCCAATTCTTTTTGATACTATAATTGCTTCTGCTGCTTCACTCAAGCTACTCATCCTTACTGTTTCTTTTATTAACATTATAAAGGTTATGATTATAATGGCGAACATTATTGTTAATATTTTTCCATTACTGTTACTATTAATTATTGTTAGTGTTCGTATTTTATAGAGCGTTAAAATATTGTTAGCACTGCCATCAAAATTTCATACCATCTTCAATTTGCTTCTGAGTTCCTCCCAAAACTGGAAAATCTGGCAATCAGATGCTATCACTTGAGATACTTTTTTATGTTGTTGTTGTTGCAAAAAATATAATCTAAAAAATTTCTCATTTTTAAAAAAGAATTGAAAATGTGAAAAACGAAAATTTGTTTTTTTATGAAAAATGACTGGACATATAATTTACAAAATTATGTAATAAAAAATGTCGCCCGATCACTAAGTTGATTCCTCCATCTCAGTCTGCTCATTTTGTGTTAAAAATTTCCAGTTTTAGCCCCTTTCAAATATTACAAGCTGCGCTGAATATGAATCACCAACAATGATTCTAAATGGATCGGAAACTGTATATGTTAAGCACACATCATATTGCTACACCGAAATGCGCTTGGAATTCTGGAAAAACGGTAAACAAATCTTTGATTAAATAAGTATTATGAAAAATTAGTACGTTGTTACATTGCAACTACACCTCAAACCTGAGAAATATAATTTTTGTTGAGATAAAAATGTATAAAAAGCGTAGCATAGTGAACATAACTACCATGGGTCTAACACGAATTGTGCGGACGCCTTGCCAGTCATGATAATAACAAATACGAGGGTTCTCTTTTTCAAATAAGTAATTCTTGATTCTCTTGAGCCAGTAGACTAAAATTGATTACGAAGTGAGCAAAATCTTGCGGAGTCCGCTTATAAATGGAATGTGAACGACAGATTATCCATACCTTCTTTTCTATATCCAATTTGTCCAAAAAATATTCCGGTCGAATGAAAGATATCCACTCCAGTCAAGTTTTTTATGTATAAGATCGCTTTCTGCAAGGAATAAAGTAATAGTAGTTTAACTCAAATGCCAGTATCATAGTAATTCTCATGAAAGGCTTTCGAAAAGAATTTTCCAAGACGTTAAATATTTATGTAACTTTTAGGTGACGTGAAATACAGTGCGAAGGGTGGTGCTGCTACACGAGCAATGGTCGATGAAAATCGCTTATATTTGGATCATATCGCATATGCTGCGTATGACTTGTGAGTTTTATTGTTCTTACAAAAAAGAATTTCACGATTACTTTTTATAAAAATTCGTGTGTTTTAAGTAAATTAAAATTTTTTGTTTTTTAGATGAATTCAAAAAATTTTCCAAAATTTTCAGCTTTCCTCCACGGAGGAGAATTCAGAATTCCTAAAGAGGCATGCTCCTGCAATGAACTGAGGAAAGGAATGTGTTCAAAAGACTGTAAAATATTACAACAGTTGCTAATTGCTTTAGCGCCACGATGAAGATAACTCATTATGAGTCGCTGCTAACTTAACGAATTTGTTAAATAAGCACATTTTTGTAGAGCTGGGCGAGCTGATATGCCAGCATGCGTACATTTTCGGGGCGATCCAGAATCCGAAATCAGCAAGTCACGAGCGATCTGTTTTTGTCGCTGGTTCAAACATCGTTCGGAACCATGCAATGAACAGCAGGAGGAAAGGGCGAAGGCAATGGCACTGCTATTTCACGAGGAAAGCTTTCATCGAGTGAGTAGCATCACAGTTACACTGTGAATTCTCGTTGCTATGCAAGTTAGCTCATCAGCTAGAATCTAATTAAACTCGCAGGTCAAACTACCCATATCCGTTGTGCGGATAAATGTGTTTGCATAATAAATGTAATTAATGCGGGTTACTTCCAGTTTCGTGTTACTTTTTATTCTTTTTTCTTTTATCTTTTTTTTTTTATTTTTAGTCCCTGTTCATTATTTTCAGACAGAGATGCTAATTATGAAAAATATTAGAAATATGTATTAAAAAAATTAGATGAGCGGGAATGTTTTGGTTCATTAAAACGCATAACATTCTTACTCAACACTATAACTAGACCCCGTCAACTCTGTGGCTGCGGTCTTACTGAAAATGAATGCATAGAATAAGATAAATTTTTTGGGGAAACAGATTCTGATATTATTAACAGTTAAATGACGCTTCAATTCTGATTTTACTGATAGTTTCTGATACCACTACTTTCGATTTTACTAATATATTAATTGTTACTAGTATTTATGTAGTTATTCGATAATTACTACTAACTGTTAATTACAATTAGTAATGAATTTAAATCATCATCAACATAATTAATTGCTTGCAGCTCCATCTTACTCACAGCAGTGCATTGGAGTTTTTTATGGACAAAATGGAAGATCTGTGGTGTCATTACAGGAGAATGTTTGCGACCATTAAGATCAATTGTAAGCTTCACTAACAAGCTCTTTGCGTGAGAATTATACGCAGCTATTTTAGCATCAAACGTATATTTCTCTTGCAACTGATCATTGTCTACTTGTTACTTTGGAAATTATCAAACAAACGAATCCAATTTTTTATTGAACAGTTTTCCTCACGGCCAGCCCCTGAAGTACATAAATGCATTGTCCCTATAATCGTTCAAAAGTTGTCACCGGTACAGGCAATAAAGCGCTTTCATAGGTGTTCCTTAATGGCTGCTGCTGATCGCATGGTCTTGCACTGGCGACTTATTCATCAAATATCTGTTTACTTCTGTTTTACCAGCTACCTTACATAGATACAGCAAGTGGGGCCGTTACTGCAGCAAGAATTTTTATTAGTTTTCAGAGCTGAAGAGCATCAGGTTTGATTTCTCAGGCTTTTCAGCACCGCATTTCATTTATATGGCCAAACAATATTTATTTCATCTGCTAGCAGAATCATTTTTCTAATACTTCAGACAAAAGAAGGAAAATGGAATCGCGAGGCGGATGTGCCGAGCGAGCGAGAAGTACATTGGACAAATCATTATCCAAAATGAAAGGTATTTGAGTGAATTTTTACGCGCACAAACATTTGCTAGCTTGGACTAATATGAGCCAAAGTTGCACATTAAACCCTCTTTCTGTATATTCCTCTATGAGATGCGGAGGCTCTCGAAAGTAAACTGACTAACGGCAAGTAATAAAAATATATTCTGTTTATGTGGTATCAGAACTCTCTGGTTCATCTGACTTGGAGCGTAAATTCTTCCTTCGTCGAGATGTTTTTTGTGAGAAAACATTAAAGACTGTGGCACGATCAAACAAACTTTTTTTTTCTTCAGATTACCGACATATCTGTATTGAACTAAAAGATGTTCAACAAAAATGTGTCTTCGTGTTGACAAGTGAAACAAGCGATCAGAAGCACCCTAAAATAAGCTGTTGCTGTGATAGTGGTTGTGAAATAATTGGTAGACAGGTGCGATTTTTAAAAAGAGATTTTGAGGAGGCACTTTTCAGTTAAAAAATAATTGTCAGAAATGATTGGCTTGTTGTTACCGCTAGTTTTCCCCTTGCACAGCTATCATTCAATTACTGCTGAGGTTTAAAGAAAGACGACATGGACAAAATTCGCACATATTCTAGCCTGTTTGTTTTATTAGTCATTTTTTCCTCGCTGTTGATGAAGTTACCAATATCTCCCTTCTTTGCAATTTCGAAACGCTCTCATCCACATAATTCCGTATAAATCGTTCCTCAGCATGAGTTGTTTTTATGTATTCTTTTTTTTTATTATCTTTGCGACAAAATTAACGGAAGCCGAACGTAGGGTGAACAAACCATTTGAATATGGTTCAGCATGCTTTGGTGGCTAATGTGCGAACATGCTTGTGTGTGTAAATACATGTACTATATATTTATAATCACGATAATCTGCTAGGTTGTTATGTTGTTTTTGTTAATCTGTTCTATGTGGTTTTGTTACATTGTTCGATAAAATGTCTAAATTCTTTTGCAAGAAGTTATGCTTGTGCGGACAGGTTACATCGAAGGGAAAAGAACGATATTAGTATTTTCTTCCTCGATTCATTTAAAAGAATGGAGTAGTAGGAAGTATTACTGTTATTGTGCAGGAGGTGAAAAGTTTGGCACCAGCTGGGTAGCCGAAATCTTCA